ACCAACCTTTTAGAAATAGTAGGCATAATAAATAAATATCGGAACATTTTTCCTGTTGGTATCAAACTTCAGCATTATAAGGCATTCTTAAATCCAAACTGTTCGTTGTTTATCTACTCTGCCAAGGAGTCAGATGTGCTCGTCAGCCATGTTTATTGCTGGGCTTGCTGAACCGCGCTGCCGCCACTGGCCACCTAGCGGGGGCCAATTGAAACACCTATAATAGCGTACTGTAACACCAACTCCCTCGGCATATCAGGGTTTTTTTTTCAATTTAAATACACTTAGAGTGTCGCAACAAAGCTATTTGATCTGCTGCGAACGTCCTATCGACCTCCCCATCATCGCCTCTCTTTGAACCAGTCCGCTATTAAAAGGAAATTCGAAAAAACTTCTCAACCCCTCTTACCTTCATTTGCTCATATCAGTCGAATAAACCCGTCAAATACATAATTTAGATTTCTCAATCAGGAATAAACTTGACACATGAAACGGTCTGCTTCTTGAATTGCTAGATCTAATCGCATCACTAATAACTGATGCAACTTAATTGAGAAATGGCATACCTTACATTGCATAAAATAGATATTGTCCGCTTGTTTGTTTAAGTTTGTGTTGGTATTGTTTCATTTTTCTACAACCTAAATTTGCTGTCGTATCTCTCGTAGGTTTAACGAGGGCTCTATAAGCTATAAACCATATATTTCCCTCGGTTCCCCCTATTGGCGGAATTAAAAAATAAACAACATTTATTGTTTAATGTCCAAGACAAGAAGGAAGGAGACCTATAGTTGATCAATTTTTGTTTCGCAACTTTATGTTCTGACACTCAAGCTGACATTGCATATATCCAGTCTTAATTATTATACTTTTTACGGTCATTCATTTTTAAAAAAATATTTTTTAAAAACCTTGTTCGATAGGTTTCTGAGCGTTGTTCATGACGCTACCTCCTCTAATACTGCAGTCAATTCTCACATGTCCCAAGGCTCGCCTATAGGGCCTCTTTTTTCTGGTAACGATGTTACGTAAAATATTCAAGTACCTATCAAACCTTCAAGTACCTTTCAAGCATACTGTTTGCTTTGAAAATACTTCGACCGAAGACTGCTCAAGCGTAAATAACGCGTTAAAAGCAATCCAGCGTTCTAGAAGCAAACATGATAAAAAAAGTACCCGAAACAAGGGTTACTCTGGTGACAACCCTAAAGACTTAGATATTTATGTATTTGTCGTAGTACTTGGCAACTGTATTTAACTTACAATACAACTGTCACATATGCAGTTCCCGTAAAATTACCATATATATTGAGAAATAGAGAGAGGGAGAGAAAAGGTTCGGTGTCCACAAACACCTTCTAGAGATATTGGACACTCGAATTATTTAGCTCTAATCGATACGTACATAATGTTCCAAATACGGCTCCAGATATATTATTTTCCTAGCGAAGGTCGAAATTCCCTGTTCTTAAAATTGAGACATACTTGAGTAGTAATATGTTACAAGTAGCGTGTAAGAACCTTATGGCTCTCACGCCAAGCAGCCCTGTACGTGCCGAATAAGCGGCCATATCGACACAAGCGTCAGTTCGGCGTCGTTGAGTGTATTGCGTACTCAACTTGAACCTCACCGGACCAAGTTCAAATCCGGCCAGAGATAAATCACTTTTTTATATACCATTAGGAATGCATCCCATTTAATAAATACAAACAATTGTTATACACAACATCCTGGTATCTCGGAACATTTGTTTGGTTACTGAATTATTACAATCTATTGCTCAATATGCAAATGCATATTAATCAAACGCATGGTTAAATTATTTTATGACTGAGCAACTCGTTATTGTGATTAATTAACTTTCTCAAGTAGCGGGCACCATTTTGAACCAACTGCCCAAAAATCACTCACGCATCGACCCACGAATATGCAACCTCAGAGTGTCTTTCATGCACTACTGTGGGAGCTGGTATCTTCGAAAGCATTATGGAAGTTCGCCTTGAATTTAAATTGAATCAATGTAATCATTCGGCTTGGGCATTCATCTCTGAATGTATTGGTATGGCTATTTAGACCGTATTTCGTTGTAGGCGCATACTGATCGCCTTGCACTATTAAAGTGAAATATTGACAATTATACTCGTAGGCACTAGAAGCTGAATATACTTTATTCAATTGGTTTAAACAGGAGAAATCATGCTAAAACAATTAGGCAATACAAGATTGATAACCGTTGAAATAAATTCACCTTTTTATTTGTCATCTAAGAGGAAATCTCAAATTTTAAACCAAAATACCCTTCGAACTCAGTATAAAGCAGTTGTTTTGGCATAAACCCATCCGCAAATCTTTCATTTGTATGTTAATAGTTGTGCCTATGCGTTTCTATTTTGATATATGTAACACCCGTAGTGTCCCGCGTAGCACGATAAGGTTCTAAGAACATTCCGGTAATGTTCAAAAGAACATAGGAAACATTCTTGGAATGTTGCACATTTACGTAAGAACATTTTATTAGCGTTGTCAGAATGTGGCGCAGGCACTTATCGCTACATTCGGGGAATTTTTTCTAGAGGGACATTTTTAGAACGTTCTGAGAACGACATAGAACATTACCAAGGCATTCAATCAACATTCAAATATCCTAACAAGGTTCTAAGAACGTTCTCAGAAAGTCCAAAGACTTCCGTAACTTCCTTGAAATGTTAAAAAGTTATGCAGGGACATCCTTTCAATCTCCTCAGAACGTGGCGTGGGTATATCGCTACATTCAGGGTACATTCTCTAAGGACTATTTACAAAGATTCCACAATTACGGCTTGCTCAGGCTACAGCCCCAATGAGCCGCACTACATGTATGGATATGGTACAGCTCCTCACAGGGCGATATTTTTTAGTCCAAACAGATTTTAGAAGGCGCAATCACAAGCTAGCCGCTTTTCCAGCGTACCAGCCTGAGCACGTACTAAGGACAGGTTACCCCTACCTGTTCTTTGTCAAATTCTTTCATTCAAAATGTGCCGTATACGCAACTGATTACTCACTCCGAGCTTAAGAACAGATACACACATGGCATGCAAAAATACTCCAAAAGCCGGGAGACGTCATAATTAAAACAAGAACGCCGACTTGACATAACAGAAAAAACAACTTCATTAGACGTTTCGCCTCCCATGCGGGAGGCATCATCAGTAGTTTGCTGATGATGTTTCAAACACCATTTGCTGTGTAACTACTGATGATGCCTCCCGCATGGGAGGCGAAACGTCTAATGAAGTTGTTTTTTCTGTTATGTCAAGTCGGCGTTCTTATTTTAATTACACACATGGCATCCCACATTGAACTCGGAAATACCTTTTTTCAAACTTTTAAACCCCAGATACTACAAATCTGGTCTATTCAAAACTGCCCCTCTACATACGCAGTGATTACCAAGTTCATTATTAAGTTTGGAAAACCATTGCTTTTTCCCCTCCACCTTATATCGGATTCCTCAGTAGACTCATATAAGATAAAACTGATCCCTTATGCTAAGTTTCCAGAAACTCCATTTAATTTGCATACTTTTGGCAGAAAGTGGCATATAGTGGATGGTGTTTCGAACCGCAGCTAGGTTGCGTGAGAGCTCCGTAAAGTTCGCTTCACCTGCGAATATTCTAGGAATGTTCGCAAGCGAACGTTCCAAGAGTGTTGCGCATATGAATGTTCAAAGGGGAACGTTCTGAGAACATTCTGCATACGAATGCTGGCCAACGAACGTTCCTGGAATGTTGAGCAGCTTACCTTGTAGGGAATGTTCGCGTACGAACGTTCCTAGAACGTTCTGAATGGTGTTTTAACGTTCCCTCCACATTCAGAACCTCCAGGGAATGTTCGCACAACATTGGGTGCTACTTGGGGTACCACCCCTTCTAAAGCTCCGAATGCAACTAGTCCAGGTGCACAAAGTATAAAGGTGGATTGAATTAGAGAACAGTAAAAGTTAATCATTGGTTTCTTGAACTGGTGACGAGCAAGCGGGGCAGGTTTCGGGTGAAACTATAGGGATATAACTGTGTTAGAGACGAAGGCACATACGTTGTTTGTGGCCTTTGGAGCTGCTGAAGTTTAGATAGTGCACCATATATTCGCCGTCAAAAATACTAGCGTGAAAAGCATATACAAAAGATGTAATTTTTCTTCTTTACTTTGCAAATACAATTATAGCTATTTCATAGGTCCGTCCCTATGTCCGTGCGTACTTAAATGCTTGTTTCGATTTTAACACGCACAAAAATATTATGTCACCCCAGATTTGAAGCATCTAAAGTCCTCTGCCGAAACCGTGACTGCGCTATCTTGTTGTTGTTGTTTCATTTTTAGCTCCCGATGACATAAAGCGTGCGCATACACTGCGTGACATTGTTAGAGCGAACACAACTTCGGCGCTTTTTCGCATTTTACTTTGAAAATATATTGGCGGGCATCTGCACTTACCACTTAGGTTAGTACCCCAACTTAACACTTTGCACCACTATAGTTTTTTTTAACTACTTTTAATTGTTTTTTTTCAATTATTTTTATATTTTATTGTGGTCTTGAGTGTCACCACGTATATTTCGTTTCTTACTTATAGTCATAATGTAGAAAACCCGAGACTGTGGTAAAAGCAGGGAAACGGTGTCGGAGAAGAAAGACAGGGGAAAAGAACGTTTCCCTGCTTTTACCACAGGCTCGGGTTTTCTACATTATGATCAACATCCACCAGCTCGCCTGCGCACTCACAGTTTTTTCATTACTTATAGTGTTCTCGCGAAGTTGCACCAATCAAAAGAACATTATGTTTGTTTTGGGCATTTTAAATAAATATTATATTATATTATATTATCGTAGCTTTGATTACAGTCCTTTAATACTGAAAGAAGCACAAAGTAAACAGCCAATGCTTTGTTCTCGTTAACAGTTTCGCAGAGTGTACAACCTACCGTCATACATAGTCATACTAATTAATTTTACTTACACGGTGGTATGCTGAGGAGGGGGCGGCGGGGCGTAAGCGTTCCCGCCATACTGCTGGGGCTGACTGGGCGGGTAGAGGTGCTGAGCTCCCGGTTGGGGCGGAGGTTGGTAGGTGTCGCCACCCGGTGGCGGCGGAGGGACATACGCGCTGCCGTAAGGCGCGGGCGGCGCTTGGGGGTAGTACCCCGGCGGAGGTGGCGGCTGGTACTGGTTCTGGGGGTACCCGTAACTCATTGTGCTTTCGTCTCCTGTGTGTAAAGCGAAGGATGAGCACTTTTAGATAGCAAAGCACAGAGATTGCCGCAGCAAAATCTGGAGTTGTTACAAATCTACGACTTTAGTTGGGAGATGTTACAAATCCACGACTTTAGTTGGAAGGGTGTCACAAATCCACGAGTTTGGGTGGGAGATGTTATAAACTCTATGACTTTAGGTCTGAAGGCATTAAAAATCCACGAATTTAGGTGGGAGATGTTACAATCCACGACTTTCGGTTGGAGATGTTACAAATCCACGACATTGGGTAGTTCGAAAGAGGGAACACATATATATTCTGTTGAAGGGCGACAGACGATAAGAGCAGTTCGAATATCAGCCATATGGCAGAGAAATACCAGCACCCACAAAAAGAAAGTATCGTGGAAAGCCCTTCGGCGGGCACTTGCTGGGTACTTGTGGAAGCATATGACAATTTATCGATGTTTCGCTTGTTATTGGCAAGTGTAGCAAAGTAAATCCTCCAAAGTTATTTTTTTTTTTGTCTATGCAGAACTTTACGCAAGCCTCGTGTTCGTTTTATAACGTACGCATAATGTAAAGTTCACTTCATGCTTGAATTTTATGCATTGAAAGATAGTATGGGATACGCTTGTACATTCACTGTGAAGTATTAGCGCCATATTTCCCTGTTGCAAGCTTTTTTTTTTCTTTAGATATCTTGTAGAGTCAATATTTATTAAAAACTACAGGGCTGTTAAACATTAGAGCTGTTCAGCTAGTCAAAGTACATCTAAGCAAAGACTGCGGTGGAATATGTCGCTCTGAAGAAAATGTTCCCATCGTAAGATCGGTTCACAGGCTGATCCGATGAACCGGATATGATGCTGCTAATTTTTTGGCCCCTCCGTGTTATGAATAAGATAGAAACCTGTCGCCTTCTCGGCGGTGCATATGAGTGGCCTTCTTGTCGTTGCAATACTACATCTAGAAAGTATCCTAACACAATTTTAGTTACAATAGACGAATACGTAATGCATCGTAAGAATAACAATACGTTGCGTTCTTTCAAACGAACAGATGACGTGTCTCTTTAAACAGAATAAAGCTCCTGGCTTGAGCTCGTTTCAAAACTGAGGTGGACCGAGAAATACTCCCGCGTTTGGAATATTTAAAGATCGTGCGCAACACTGGTTCGACCTTGATGCTCGCAACGCCCGTCACTGTCAACAACGAAACAAAACCCTGCAGGCACTTACTCAATTGGTAGACGGCTCCGTCTATCAAGACACTCGCAGACCACTGTACAGGCTCGGAGGCAACGCAGTCGCGATCTCTATCCCTATCACATATCGGTTGCTACGGCGATGCGTTTCGTTGAGATACGACTCCCCTTGCAATCCAAAAACCGCCCCCAGAAGCGGCGTCACTAAAAAAAGAAAAGAAAGCTGGTTTGACTGACATTGCTCCCAGGTTATGGCGCGACAACACAATTAAATTGCTTTCCTTCTTTCGTTTTATCGTGACGTCAACGATTGTTGTGTCCGCTGAAATAGGTGTGAGCGCGATGGAGGAGTCTCGCTAGACTGCCGCCAAAAAAAAAGGTAAAAAACAACTAAATTTACTTGGGTGATAAGTGCGCCTTAGTACTAGAGGCGAGAGCTTATCGTTTTCGGAACATAACAGCGAGCGCCATCACTGAGTCATCTCCTTGGTTTTATTTTTATCGTCCTAAGCACAGCAAGTGACGTCACACAGCCCAAGTGTCCTTTCACGGTAATGTGGCGTTATTTGACGAAGCCGTACTTCGCGTGAATTACCGCATCTAGTCGTAATCATAAAAAAATATTACCAACAATTTCCTATAATACATGAAATGCAATATGTGGGTATACATACTTGTCCCGGGAGTAAAGACCATATATATTTTTATCAATTTTAGGAAAACTGAATTTCGGTGTCAGATGACCATAGGGGGAGGGGGAGACGGCACTGTAGGACGGTGAGGAGAAGCACCGGGAGAGGGAGGGAAAGGGAGGAGGTGTGAGAGGAGTAGAGAAACTGAATTGGTGTGTCACATGGTCCGAGGAAGGGGAGGGAGAGGAAAGACACCGTAGGAGAATGGGGGAGAGAGACCGCTAGAGGGTGGAACGGAAGGGGGAAGGGAGGGGTTAGAGAGGGATAGGGAAGGAAAATGAGAAAGAGGACAGGGAATTGGTGCGCAACGTGACGTTCATTTCCCCCTAAATTCAGCGAAAAAACAAAAACAAATTGTTACCAATTAGTGTTAAGTCACAGAACATAAATTTTCCCGCTTTATTTAGCGGGGAAACTCAGTTGGCGTATAGGTTACGTCACGTCAATTTTCCCGCTTTAATTTGCGGGGAAACTGAATTGGTGTTAAGGTCACAAGACGTAAATTTCCCCCCCAAGTTTAGCGGGGAACATGAATTAAAAGGTAAGTCATGTGTCATCAATTTCTCCACTTTGTGTATGTGTCACGACGTTAGGTCATCTGACGTAAACATCCCCACTAAATTTAGCGGAAAATGCACCGACGGACGGACCGACAAAACAATTTTGGAATTGGGTGTTCCGTTAAAAAGCTTTTTTTTTAGTAGACATACTACTAGTCAAAGTTAAAGACTTCAAAAGGAGTGGTAATTACAAACAGGATTTGAAAATGAAGAAAAAATTAAAACGGCAATCGAATCACAGGCAAAATTGCCGGTACACAAAATACAAAACAATATAATCTATAAGCGGCATCCTATGCAAAATCGAGTATATATACTGGCATTAACTGATAGTTACGTTGTGTCTAAATAATGTGAAGACAACTCAGAATCATGAAGAGAAACAACATTACCCACTAGTGCATTCCGTTCTCGCACCGTGCGTTGGAAAAAAGAAAAACTTGAAACAATCTTTACTCATCAGAATTAATGCAAGTAACGCAAGTGCTTGCTCCCAGCTAGACACGACTTATGAAATGTCACGTAATTTGATGGGTCCATGAGCAGTGAATCAGAAAGGATAATGAAAAGAAACTCCAAGCCAGGCACGTAGCCAGATTTTGTTTCGGGGGCGGGGGGGAGGGGGGCGCTTATGACAAAATGCTGTATGAGGGGGAGGGGGAGAGGAAGTCCCAGCAAAGTGAAAGATTCGGGGAGAGGCCCGGGCCCCACGGAATTCCCCCCCCCCCCCCCCCCCCCCCCACCCCTGGCTGCGTGCCTGCTTCAAGCGCTTGCTTTTTCGTCTAGACTCAAGGGTGGCAAGATTAGATAGGGCGTGCAGCTATGTTGGTGAATCTAATCTACGATGCTCCGGAAAAAAAAAAAACGTAGCGCCAATCGTTGAACGCGTTCGAGATCAAGGATAAGGTTTTTCGTGCGCGGGTCCCCTACTTCAGCCACATACTCTAACAGGGGACGTGTCAACACTTTGTAAGCGTGCAGTTTTGTTTCAGTGGTTGCCCATTTTAAAGACCGCTGTAAGAAGGCCATTTCTTATATTAACCTATTCTAACTATATTTGTTACGTGCACGTTTCATCGAAGACCCCTGGTAATAGTAACGCCAAGGTATTTGTAACTGACAACTCTTTTCAAAAGAACACCATTACGACAGTAATGGTATAATAGTGGATTCAACTTGTTTCTAATGGAAATACAGAGTGTTTTGCCTTTGAGTAAGAAGTGTTCAGCTAGAAATACATGAACATGCTTGCAGGTGTTGTATTTTTATATTTTACAGTAGGTTGACGTTAGGGAAATTGGTCGATAATTCCGTGCACGGGTTTCCGTCCTGAAATATTGGAATGACTTCACCCAATCTCCAGTCGTTTGGAACTAATGAGCTATCGAGCGATTTATTAAAAACAAGAAATTGGTACTTCCACGACCATTCAGCATACCTTTTCAAGTGCGAATTTGATATTTTATCTGATTCTCCGCCTTTCGTTAGATTGGCATCAAGAAGCAAAGAGAAAATTCCTTCCTCGGGTAGTTCCACATCAGCAATTGGTGGTATCGTGGTGAATTCATCGAATCCGGATATCGCGCCATCATCGCAATCAAACACTGTGGGGAAAAAAAGCTATTAAACGCGTTTGCTATGTCGACCTTTTCTAAAAATAACCTTGTCATCTAATGCAAGTTTAGTCACTCAAGATTTTGGTGGTGAAAGATGCTCCCAAATCTTTTTCGGGGAGTGCTTGAGAAGCCTTGTCATGGTTACATTAAAAAAGTGGTGCTTGGCCTTTTGTACCATTCTTTTCAGATCTATACTCAGACACCTCAACTTATCACGCACTGACGCACCCTGTGAACCACGCAACCGTTTTCTTAACCACGAAACATTTCGTTTTTGACATGTTATTTTTCTGTTAATCCATAGATTGTTGCTATGGTTTCTTTCCACCTTTTCCGGGACATACTGAGTAATGCAGAGGGTAACAATCTCTTTAAATTTAAACCAGCCCCTACCGAAAAATCCGGTATAACTTTTCGCTATCCGGATTATGGAACCAGAAATCTATCTGGATTCTATCTGGACTCTATCTGGAATTTAGGTTTTCAGAAATTATTCCTTTGTTCTCAATCTGGATTTCGGGTTTCCAGTAACAAATTTCCGGTTCCATATTCCGGATAGGGAAAGTTATACCGGATTTTTCGGTAGGTAGAGTTGATCAACGTTTGGTTTAGATCCCAAGCTAATCTACTCGAAGGCGTCGTACAAAAATTGAGTATGTCTAAAACAGCCACGTCATCCCTATGATTAAATTCTTTGTAGGTAGTGATTTCATAACGCACCGAACGAATTTCATTTTTATCTAGCGATAAAATTACCATAGAGTGACGCAATATAACTGGCAAGACTCAACATTCATAAGAATTTAACAGCCTGCTCTCGCTTAAAAACATTAATCAAGTATAGATTGCTTTCTCCTTGAATTCTTGTAAATTCCTTAACAACTTCAGTTAATCCATGCGAAAGCGTCATGTCTATCAAAGCCGATGAGAGTAAGACATCACGAGTATCAGGTAATGATGCATCCCAATTGACCTCCGTCCCCGACATAGAAATCACCGGCAAATATTACTTTCTTTGAGTCAATACGCAGTTTTTTTAGAAAGTCATTTAGTTTTTGAACGAAATCTAAATTCGTGCCAGGTGGGCGAAAAACTGCGCCAACTATGGTCTCCGATTTCGTCAGCCAATATTACTTTCTTTGAGTCAATACGCAGTTTTTTTAGAAAGTCATTTAGTTTTTGAACGAAATCTAAATTCGTGACAGGTGGGCGAAAAACTGCGCCAACTATGATCTCCGATTTCATCAGCCATCGTTTTCAATGTCAGGAGTGTCGTCTTACACAAAACAGTCAATACTGATTTCTTTTTTTCTTTTTTTTTTATTACACTGGCCGTTCTACTCCCTATGCTCGCGCGGTCTTTTCTGGTGAGGCTGAACCCCGGTGGAACAATTCCACAATCCAAAAGTAAAGGACATAGCCCCATTTCGGTTATAATTACGACAGAAGGGTCATGTTCGACAAAGACGTTTTCTAAATCAACCGTTTTATTTAGAATGCTCCGCGTATTTAGATCAATGATGGAAGAGGTGCATTCGGTTTGAATCCTTCTTCGTCATTCCCTTCGATGTCGAACGTTTCTTGTTTCCTCTTCGGAGATGAGGACCCTTTGCTCTTGTTGCTCGTCCAAGGTGTACGTAGTTCCATTTATTTTCAGTTTGTCATGTACAAGAATTACTTTTTCACCCTTTGCTCTATTTTTTCGAGAACTTTCTCAAAGCTTTTTTTCGCAGAGTTCGCACCTGTTTTGAGTAGTTCTCGTTATTGAAGTTATACCGACAGAAGACTACCGGTCGAGGTTTATCTGGGAATATCCTTTCAAGCCATGTGAATACGTTCAACGCTACTGACGTCTATCGGTTTCGCTTTGCTTTAAATACCTCATCAACAACCTCCACTTTCAATTGTTGTTTTCTGCGTAGGCTCCTCGATGCCATAAATAACATGATTATTTTGCCTACTTCTCTTCTCCAAGTCATCCACTTTCCTTTGAAGATTTCTGATCGACGTTTCCAAAAGCTCAACATGCTTAACCGATGAATCTAGCCTTGTTAAAAAATCCTTAAAAAGCAACTCCGCTTCATTTTTGGTTTTGAAAAAACAATGCAGTCCTCTTCAGTATCGCCTAGGAAGACCACACGTGAAATCTTACGACGCAGTTCTGTCTGAATGTTTCTTAAACGGTCCGGCAAACTTTGCAACTCGCCAAGTTGCCGAAATCGGCTGACTTGAGCGGGCGAATTCAGGCGCAACCAACAGCGCAGTCAAGGC